AGAATCTTTGAATTTTCTTTGCCCTGATTCAATACCTAAAAAAATATCATATTTGGGGTATTTTGAAAATTATACTATGAAAATTTAGGGGCATTTTAAATATTGGATTATGAAGATTTAGGGATATTTAAAAAAAAAAAAATTATTAGATCCTAAAGGTTTTAGAAATTTGAGAAAAAATTAAAAATATTTTAGAAATTAATGTTAAACCTAGACATATTTTAATAATTTACCACAAAATTCGAACGGCTTCGGAGAATTATATGCAAAACTTATCTCTATCCCAAATGGTAAAATTATTTTTCTCATCCCCGCCCCATCCCCCTTTAAGATCAGAGAAAACCCGCCCAATTCAGGACAGAATGGGGCAGGGCCCCGATTTTATAGGGAAAGTTGCCATTTTTTTTGGGGGGGAGGGGGGTGGGGGGAGGGTATTGATGGGGCCATAATTCGGGGATTGCCACATAGACCATTTGAGAAGTGACATGTGGCCGTGCCAAAGACCAACATGTGTACAGGATATGGACGAACTGAGTGCCGATGTAGCGTACCCCATTTGATCCTCGTGCTAACGTTGGTGGACAATGTGACTCCCAAACTTAGAGATAAGGAGACGTGGTGAACATCGGCTGAGCCCAGCCACACTGGAGTCGACACTAAGAGCACACCACCCCATCACCTTCCTCATCTTGACCTTAGTGGAACATATGTGTTCCGCTAGCGAGGAACACAACATCACTCCTTAACATCTATATAAGAGCACACCACCCACCAAGGTGAGTCTTCTTCATCATGTTTTTTGACCACTCTCATTTCTTGCTATGTAAGCTCCCTAGCTTGTATGACCAAACCAGTTCCGCCTAGCTAGCCCTCTACTTATTGACCTGAGCATTGGAATGCTCCTCCTTGGAGAACTACCTCGAGGCCTCTAACTCTTTGTTTTAGTGAGTCATTACATTAGATCTAGCATAGCTCGTCCAACTCATTAGGACACTTCATTTTCTGCTCGTCCACCTCAACTTGGACATCACTTGTTATCAAATTAAAAGGGTTAAATTACTTATTGCTAATTTACCGAACAAGAACACTTCTACCCTTTTCATGGGTGTTTGGATTTCCTCCTTGCACCCATCTCACAGCCAGGTAAAAGTTAGGAATTCTTTTCTTGAAGGAGGTCAGGAGCTAATAAGCATTGATTGGGGAAAAAAAGTTAATAAACTTGGATAGATGGGCCAATATATAAATGGGATGTGAATAGAAATTGTAAGAATTTTAAAAGCATAGGGAGCTCCCCTCTGGCACCCCTGGTTCGCCCACGCTCACAGCAGGTTGCATGTAGTCACACATTGGGAACATATCCTATATTTAAGGCTTCGTTTGTATCCAGTGTAAAATGTCATCAGTGTAAAAGTATATTGATAACATTTTACACTAAACCATATAGTAGGTGACCGTTACATTTTGAAATTTGTCACAAAAAAATGTAAAGTTTTACATCGATAAAAATCGATGCTTGAGATTTTACATCGATTCACGATGTAAAACTCTACTCCATCCAAACACCAACAAATCTAAATCAGAGTAGAGTTTTATATCAATCTTCATTTATATTTCTTTCAAATACCAATAAAACCAAACCGATATAAACTTTTACATCATTCTTAATTTACATTGAAGGTTTATTTGTAAAGATTCAAAAAGATGCCACAAAAATAATAAGATGGAGCTTTAAAAAGTTTAAATGTAATGATCACTTCTCTTTCTGCCACTAAAACTAAAATTGACAACTTGTAGCGAAATGGCTGAATGACATTAACCATGCATGCGAAGAATGAGATTGAGTGATTATGGAGCATTTATATGCTTTATGTCTAGTTTGGGATGTTATCATTGATTACAAAGCCTTCACCTTTGGCTAATCGGGACACATTAATAAAAGGGTCATCATCATCTAAGCCTTATCTCAATTATATCATCTACGTGAATCCTGTTTTGTCATTACCTTCTATTTCATGTCATGATAGAGCAGAGGAATAAGTAAATTAACCCCAACCTACAACTACAAGGGATGAGTAAATTAATAGATAAACAACCTAAACCCGAGGAGGTATAAGTATTTGACTAGAACCGTAAGGGAAACACAAGTAATCTACCCAATCATGGAAACATTTGTTGGCAGAAGTACTTAAAATGCTGCTTCAAAGTTCAAAAAACTGAAGCACTTTATGCCAAGAGATCAGAAGCAATGTTATCAGATTAGACTCCAACTGGAACACTTGATAACCAGGATCCAGAAAAACTCACTAGATCACTGGATGGTTGTAGAACACTGGAACACTGAAGCACAAAATACGCATACAAAATTGTAAAAAACGCTGCACTAAACTACATTTTCAAATCACCTGAGTACTGAAGCGAGAAAAAAAAAAATCACCTGAGTAGGAACTAAGCATCATGATAGCATAACTTATCCACACATGGGACTATTGCTTTTTCATGTTTGGATCACCTCAAGCCCAATCAGAGACATAAAAGAGTTACCACCGAGTCCAAGACAGGCCCAGTTCAACCCACATTCATGGGCCAACTTATTATGAGCTTTGACACGTTTCTGTCCCATCAAAATCTCTTAGGGGGTGTTTGGACAGCGGTGTTATGTTACCATTACATTTTAGGTTGATCAATACAAATTTAAAAATATTTTGAATTGGTCAATACAAATTGATAGTTCTGTCTGAAGCATCAAGTTTGATATTTATGACATGCATGCATTTTTGTATCTGAGATGACATTTATATATGACATGATAACATATTTTTTTCACAAATTTGTATTGATCAACAAAAAAATACAAAAATGCAATGGCAACATGACACTATTGTACTTAGACATGAGAATCAAACAAGTTAATCTACAAAAGATATTGTTTGCCCGAATTCAAATTAAAATCCAATACAAATATAACTAGACCTAATACGGGTCCAACTCAATCAGATTTTATCTGATCCGGTAATATCTAAACATATGTGCTTATACATACACAAAATAAAATTAACATTTATCAAGTTCAAATAAGATCACTTTGTATCCATAACATTTTTTAAGCCTAAAAGGAAAATTTCATAAAATAATACTAAGAATATAATCCAAGAAACTACCAACAGTCAAAGAAAGTAAGGAAGATAAATTACAAAGAAAAGTAACAAAGACAATGGAGAGATAAATCCATCAATAGACCATATACCAATCTGCTGAGTGGTGAAGAAGAAGAAGAAGAAACTGATTCTTAACACCGGGAGAAAAAACTTATGAGGTAAAAGGCAAAAAAGGAGGACCAAGCCTCCAACGGGGAGACAAAACTCAAACAAGAGAGAAGAGACTCCCATAACAAAGCAACCCAACTTCCTAAACCGTAACAACTTTTTTTGTGGATATACACCTAAACCCTAACAATCTGGGCCTGGGTTTCCTAATTTTGATAATAAGATGGGAGTAATAAAGTGCAGTGAAGATACCCGGTTGTTTAACCAATTCGCTCGCCAATCAATGAAAAAGTGCATTGTCCACAATGCCACTATCAAAATCCAGTAAAGCCTATGGAAAAGAAGGAAACAGTAAAAGTCCAGACCAACTTATGTTGGCTCAAACTCAATTATTAGGTTTCTTGTTATTTGCAAGGTTCAAAATATCGATGGGCATATCGGCATATATTAGTATTGCTTTTTATGATTTTTTTACTTTTTTTTTTTGTTTGAAATTGGTTCAAACGGCCGGTTTAAGGCTGATTTACCCTTTAAACCATTCACTGATTCAAAACATGACATATCAAGAAGATTCCGATATAATACGTATCAGCCGATATGGGCTGATACATCAAATACGTGACAAAATTTTGATTCTTGATTTTACTGTTACCATATTGGGAATGGGCCCCTGGGGGTAAGGAAATGGAGGATGAACTACCCGCATTGTATAGACGTGTAACTTGGAGGATTTGGGCTGAGGTTTTATCAAATTTTGAGTAGGTTTTTTCCATCAATTCCGTTTTCTTAAAAAATGATATCTGTTTGGCATTGTTGTCGTTTCCTGAAACAACGGTACTACAGCACAACTCCATGTAAGAAAAAATAATATTCTAAGACACAATCATCTATTTGGAACCGTTTTTTATAGAAAATGGTATTCTAAGACACGCTTTAAAAATCGAGAAGACATAACTTGGAGCAATGCCAAATTTAACATTTCCTAGAGTGCCAAAATAATATGTTTCCTGATACCAAACAGAAAAAATTTATTACTCCAGAAAACGGTAACAAGGATTCCAAACAAAAATTTCCAACCTCAGCAGCATGATACTAAATACAAAACTTGAATGATTATGAAACACAGCCTGAATGAACCCAACCGAAGGGCTTGAAACAGTGTAAAAGGCATGCTAACTTGGCCAACCCTAATTACACCATAATTAATACAGACACGTGCTGGACCGATGGTTAAGATCATGCGAACAGCAAAAGCAACATTCCCAACAAGTGCAACCCATTGACTGAACGGTCAGGACCATCATACAAAGCTGCCGATTCACTGTATCGTTAATTTCGTCAATAGAAAAAAAAAATTGAGAAATATATACTGAAAATCCCTAAGAAAGTTTTTTTATATATTGTGACTTTGTTAAAACTTGAAAACAGTTTTCTACTTTTCTTCCTCCCGATTCGTGTAAAATGAAGGCGGTTTTATACCTCAACGTAAAGCAACCCACTCTATCCAGATTCCAGAACACATGGATAAAGGAAGCAAGGCAACGTTTCAAAGTGTCGTAGCCCAATTCACCATGTTTGTAAAATTCGCCATACTCACTAACGAGTTCTAATCCTCAACAGTTTCACTCGCAGTACTGGGTGCAAACGCATGCTTCGCGCGCGCCTTCGTGGCTGCCTATAAGGCTATAACAATGGTGTTCTCCCAGCTCGCTTACAAAATATACATAAAAGATGGTTTCCCAACCTTATTGAAATTCAGAAAACTTAATGAATTTTTACAAAGAGACTGTCGATAATCCTTTCACCCTTTAATTGAACTAAAATTACCAAAAAAAATCCTATTAGCCCATCATTACCATATCCTTCTTCAATCGATATCGATCCATGAAGAAAGGCAAAAGACAAGGGAAAAACAGAACAAATCAGATAAAGCTGTTCCCAAAACATTAAAGGATAACAAAAATAAAAGAATATTCGTCAATCGGATCGACCGGGTGCTCTTTTCGTCGGATTTAACCTACGTGCTCGTAAACTTCGTCACCGCCTTGGTCCCCTCAGAGACCGCATGCTTCGCGAGTTCACCAGGCAACGTGAGACGCACGGCAGTCTGGATCTCCCTCGAAGTGATAGTCGGCTTCTTGTTATATCGAGCAAGCCTCGAAGCCTCCTGCGCCAGCTTCTCGAAGATATCGTTGATAAAACTGTTCATTATCCCCATCGCCTTGCTCGAGATCCCAATATCCGGATGAACCTGCTTCAAGACCTTGAAGATGTAGATCTTGTATGTCTCGCTCGCTCGCTTCATTTTCTTCTTCTTCTTCTTGTCAACCGAAGTCGATCCATCCTTGGTTGCCTTATCAACCTTGGGCGCTTTCTCGGCCACCGGTTTCTTCTCAGCCACTGGCTTCTTTCCGGCTTTCGACGACATCGATTGGGTTTTGCAGCAGTAGGGGTTTGCAGATCTAAAACTCTCTTACCGAAGGGAAAGAGCTATATGGCGAGGGAAGAGAGCACAACGAGATGGAAAGATGATGGTGAATCGGTGGACATCCCTTTGGCATTTATAGGTGAGCGTCGAGTTTTGGAGCGGCGGATCGAGATGTGGTGAAATAGAAGGTGTGATCTGGACCGTCGACTTTTGACGGTTCGGATGTTTCTAGTAAGAAAAAGGATAGAGTAATTACGGTTTAGAGTAAGCAATCAGAATAGGACAAAATGCTTTGTCATTTCTACACCGTTTGGCTGCTGATGTGGTATTCTCTTACTCTAGGCTCACATTTGGAAATCAAGTATTTAATTTCTTTCTTCTGGAAATTACAGCCCCAAAACTCTGTGAATTATCTCAAGAAAGTGGGTTATTCACTTATTTGGTTTCGTCCAAATCAAAACAGAAAATTGATCGGGTTCCCTGGATTCAAACCCGGAACGGTATTCAAATGCTTGATCTATTAATTGCCTCCAATTTAAGAAATTTGTCCTTTTCAGACTTAAATCATCAATGGGACCTGGATGGAATGTAGACCTTCTCATTCCTCAATCAATATTTTGATCAAGACATAATTCAGGATATTTAAAAAAAAAAAACCTTCATCCTTCCAGAGGAGCATTCGATAACCTGGATTGAATTTGGATCTTACATCCCTCGAGTAAGTTTTCTCCAAAACATGCTTACAAACATTTTTGGTTTCCCGAACAAATTAGACCTCACGATAATCTAAAAATCTGTCAGAAATGGATTAATTTGTTACTTTCCAATAGCTCCACGTGAACAACTTTTCTTGTGGAGGGTGATAAATAATTTCTTTCCAGTCTGTGAACAAATTTGGGATGTATCTCAAAACCGTAGTGGTGTTTTATGCCATAATAATGTGGAAACGATAAATCATATTTTTCTGGAATGCCCCCTTATCTAAGCGGTCTTGTTTGGGCCATGTGTGGAATCTTATTATTGGTTCTACGGAATGCTAAACAGCAAAAGCATTCAGCTAAATCTTATTTCGCTGGAAATAAAGTGTATTTTAAAGATAGACAAATTCAGTTGCTTTAAAAGATCAATACTGTTTTTAACCGATTAAATACTCAACAAAAAGTAGGGAAAGAAAGGAAAATATAAAAAAACCTATACAAAATTTGTAAAAATTTTCTTATATTTCCGTTCCTTTCCCTATTTTTTTCTTCAAATCAAAGCATGATATAGACTGCATTATATATCTTTATAGATGCAGGTACTATCGACCAATCGAATTTCTCCTCTGGAGCTATCTGTTTATCTCTAGATTTGAATTGTCTTTGTGTTGCAACAGGAAGAATTAACCTGAATTCTGTAGATGAGGCGGAACTATATGCTATTTTGCAAGGAATTTAACAAGCGCTGCGAATGTCCAAATTAAAGAAAATTTGATAATATGTTCGAATTCACAGCAGGTCGTTAACGCATTGAAAAATCAAGCCTCTCTTCATTGGTCGTTCCTTGGGCTTTTGATAACGACCAAGCAAAAATTAACATCTTTTCAATCTATGGACTTTCACTTTGTAAATAGAACTTTTAATTCCCCTGCGCATAATGTGGCTCATCGAGCAAAAACTCATGTGCAGGATTGTTTTCTACGTGATAGCTATCCTGAACGGATACCGGATGTAAGAGACGAGAACGAATTCAGTGAACCCGTAGGTCTACGGTGAATGTATACCGTGAAATAGGTGAATACGGTTCATCCCGTCAGAAAAAAGATAAAAAATAAATAAATAATTCAGAGCTCTCTTTTTGAATCATTCGAATACTCCCTTTTTTTTTCAATCGAACCCTAACAGAGGCCATCGATGATTTCTAAGCACAACTGAACTCTGATAGTAGCAAGAAATAACCGGCAGTAAGCATTTATTTGAATCTTCAAATTGCAAAGATTCTACTTGCAAGTGTCTTTCTATGTGTGGGGAAGTGACAAACTGGCAATCCACTCTTTCAACAAGGAAATGATCYATCTGATTCCATTAAAAAGAAATAAAGAATGTTCTTTCGTCATCAACTTCATGACAATTGTGCATATAGAGAGGGATTAATTTTATTCTGTTGAAAGTTGAATTTACATCATCAAATTAATGGTGATCCCATGATACACAAATTGATACACAGAACATTGGTGGTTTCGGTTAATTAATTTTTCAACTCAAAGCACTGTGAAATCAAAATAATAAGAAAACCAATACATTGGGCAAATGATCAATCCATTCTTGTTGCATTCTGGGCAACAGTTGGGCCATCCATCATCAGTCCCTTCATTAGGACTGACTTTGCAATTGCCATTGCAGTTGAAGTACAACACGAAGCATATCCCTGTGCATTCGTTGCATGGACCATTGGAGTAATTGACTGGGAGTCCTTGCAAGAGTGGCTGAAGCTTCCCTTGCTCATGCAAGTTCACCACCTCATCAGCTCCTCCGATGTATCTCCCCCTTGCAAGAGCGGTAAGCAATAAATAGATACATATCGCTAGGTATTTTTTATAGTCATTGGAGTTCAGTTGTGCTCAAATTACTCCAAGGTTAGGGCTCGGTTGAAAAAATTGGGAAGAAGGGGAGTTCAAATGATTCAGAATGAGAGCTTTAAATTATTTTTGTGTTTTTTCTGATCAGTGACCAGGTGAATCGTATATACCCACTTAATAGAAAGACAACGGGCCTGTTTGGCACGTCTTTTTGAGAAGATCTTCTTGTAATTCTGACAATCAAAAGATGCATTGAGCTTTTGACATAAGATCTGGGCAGCCCGAACATAGTTTGGCAGATGTGTGTCTTTTCGTGCGAGATTCAAATGTGAAAGACACGGGAAGCTTCACTTGAAGCTTTCCAAAATCAGCCCAAAATGGGTTTTTCATGTCTTTTCAACACACCATCTTTTGGCGGTTAGATCTTCTACGAGCCAAACAAGAATAGATAAAAAATCAGCCTTTCCAGCTTATAAACAACCGGAAAACTGCATCGAAAAACATGCCAAACAGGCTCATAACCTTAACGTAAATGGCTTAATTTGAATAGGTGACGTGCACGCCTCCTATTGAAGGGTACACGCTCACCGTGAACCAACGGGTTCATGTAAAAGACTAAGTGACTATTATTATTCCTAGTTAATATAAGGGCTTATTGCCGATAGGCAACTTTTCATCCCCACATAACAATAAAAGTAATAACTTTTATATAATGATTAGTATAGGATAACTTTTTTGATAAAATATCAAGTAAGTGCACCGTCAGCGATGAACCCTCTGTATCTCTCCGTTGTTTATCGCTACTTGCTCTATTTGTTTTCTTTTCTTTTCTTTTTTTTAATTTAAGCAAAGTTGCACCATCTTCTACTCTTCTTTTGCCCGAAAGCTCTGTATCTCTCCGTTGAAGCCCTCACTTTAACCTTCTTTTTCCAAAGATCTTCACTAAATTCTCAATTTCTTTTCTCTGCAAAAAGTCAAATATCAAATAAACCAGGGCCACAATCTGGTGGGAATCAGTCTACTCAATCCATATCAGAAATAAAAATCTCCCAAAGCCATTTTCCACATTGTCATTCCTGTCATTTCTTGTTTCAGGCTCTCAACTTAGTGTTGTTTTGATCGATGAAAAGGGGGTCTTTCTCAGACGATTCTCGCTTCAGGTTGCTAGTCCTCCAACAAGGACGGCCTTCGTGGAATATGATCAAGAGATCAATCCGAGTAGTGCGACCTTCCAATGTAAGAGTGAAAATATAGGTCACTCTGTTCAAGCCTTCCGGTGTTGGAGTAGTGGAATATGATTAGAACAGTCTTCATCTTTTTCCCACGATTTCCACTACTGTAGTCGACTCTACTCGACCGATGAACGAAATAGGGGATGGGGAAGATCGGTAAATGGTTGGGGAGGTCAACAACAACATAGAGGCACAATGGAATGATGGAAAACTAAATAAATAAATAAAAGAGGATGAAAAACAGAGATATTCACTGGTGATGAGGATGGAGAAAGTGGATAAAATATTCGCCACTAAGGAGTCGATGTTCTCGTCGAGAAGACGAAGAACAGTGATCAAAATGGGGAGGGGAAAAGATAGGGAATGAGAGAGGGTAAGAGAGAAGAAGAAGGAGAAAATGAATGAGAGAAATGGAGTCGTGGCGGAGAGTTCTCGTTGGGATTCCACTCCTGCGTCGAGTTGAGAGAGGGTAGACGATGAACAAGGGACGACCAGGTGGTTTGGTTCGGCGAGAGAGAGAAAGGAGGTGGCTGTGCAGTCTGATTCAAAGAAAAAAAAAAAAAAAAAAAAAAGAGAAAAACGGTGTGGGAATCGATACATACGTTGCATATTTTTTTATCGCTTCACGGGGCTACACAACAGGGTAGCCCATCCCCTTATTTAATATATTTTTAAAAAAATTAGCCTATACTGGTTATTATATAAAGGAAAATTATCTAAAATTCATCATGAATTTTCAGCATTTCTCTTAAATTCACCATAACTTTTTAAAATGTCTAAAATTCACCATGTCACTAACCTTACTAACATGACGTTAAATAGACTACCGAGTGTTAATATATTACCATTTTAACCTTCATAGAGAAATATAAAATATATACAAAATAAATTAATGGATGTTAATATATTATCATTTTAATATTTAGACATGAAAAAGGAAAAAGGAAAAAGTTCAAACAAATATTTTCAAATATAAAATGCATAAAAACATAGAAATTACAAAATTATAGAAATTGCAAATAAAATAAAAATTATTTTCAAATTATAGAAACCATTGAAATTGAGAAAAAAATCAGAAAATAAAAAAATGTAGAAAAAACATAAAAAACTATAGAAAAACACAGAAATTGCAAATAAATAACAAAAAATACAAGAAATTTTATAGGTCGTAGAAAATAGAAAATTGTAAAGAAAAATGGAAATTATAAAAAACATTGGAAATTCTAACAAAACACTAAAATGCAAAAAAAAAAAAACAAGAAAATTAAAAGCTAAAAAAAACCATTTTTCCACTAACTCACCATTCAAGGGTAATTTGATCATGAAAATTG